TTGTGGACGAAACGTCAGGAAGAAATTCCGATAGACCACGGCTTCAAAGCCCGGAAAACATTCCTAAATGTATTATGAGTTTAATTATGTAGGGTTCTCATTTCTAACTGCAGATGTTGCTAATAGGGGTCATTCTCTATATTTAGAGAAACATTAGACATACCGGAAAAAAAACATCAGCCCTAAGCATGATGATGTGTTTTCTCTGTCTTGTCCACTGGTGCGAAAGCTAAACAATGGACACGAAAACAGAGAAAATAATAGAGGCTTATTTTAACTTCTTAGTTTATTTTTTTGATAAAATCGGCTATTCTTAAACTGGTTGTTCAAAATGTACGGCACGAGCATGTCGCCGTAATGAATCTCTAATTTTAAATGTTTTGTTGCAAATATCGCATTTAAACGGCTGTTTGTCTGAATGCGATGCTGTATGTGTGCGCAATCTATTTGCAGAATAGTAAGTTTTAGCGCATATCTTACACTTGTACTCTTTTTCTTCGGTATGCTTATTTCGATGAACGCTTAAGTGGCTTTTTGTTTTAAATGTTGAATTGCAATAGTCGCATTGAAATGGCCGTTGATCTGAGTGACAGCGTAAATGCTTTTGTATACTGTTTGGATATAAAAACTTTTTATTACAAATTTTACAGCTGTACTGTTTTTCTTTTGTATGTTTATTTCGATGAACATTTAAATCGCTTTTCCTTTTGAAATCCAAATTGCAAATATTGCATCGAAAAGGGCGTTGGTCTGAATGAACTTTCAAATGAAAATCTAATTTTGATTTTAAAGCAAATGTTTTATCACAAATACTGCACGTGTGTTGGTTTGCATTAATATGAATGGTTCGATGCTCAGTAAGGTCAGACTTCAACTTGCATTTAAAATCGCAAAAATCACATGCATAAAGGAGAGTGTTCGAATGAGTTTTCAAATGGTCATCTAAATTTGAAAACAACAAAGTTTTAGCACAAATTTGACAGTTATACTGTTCCTTTTTTGGGTGTTTCTTCTGGTGAATTGTTAAGTACCTTATTTGCTTATACTTTAAGCCGCAAATATCGCATTGAAAAGGCCGGTCTTTTGAATGTGTGACCAAATGAATTTTCAGGTTTGATTTATTTACAAACGATGTCGCGCAAATGTTACAGTTATACTGATTTACTTGTGCAGTCTTCGCAGTGTGCTCAGTTACAGTCTCAGTTTCACTCATATTGCTAATGGTTTCCTCTTCAACTTTTACCAACACACACATATTTTCCTCTTCGATTGTAATTTCTTCCTTCACATTAATGTAAAAGTCTGAGTTCAAATCAACGTGGGATCTAAAAAAAAACCACAATCAGTAAAAACATTTATAATTTTATATTGACCAAAATAGGATAACAAATTAAGAGAACATTTTTCTCTGGGCTGCTCATGTTTTAACATTCTAATAGGGGTTAACTTGATGTTATTTAGCAATTAGTTCATAAACGCTGAACAGTAAGGAAGCTATTCCTGTCGGATTTTTGACGGGGCAATAAAAGACATTTAAAATTAAAATACGTAATTTGTCTGTATGCATGTGTTTGTTTACTTTATTACTGGCGTTAGGAATATGTTTATACGTAAACTTGCCTTCAGAATAGCAATGCTATTTTTATTTAAAAAAAACACGTTAATAAAATAAATGAGTGTTTATTGATGGACATTTTACAGTCTGTATGTCGTAATCACATTTGAATATATAGTAACTGGAATCTAAGTGGAATACAAACGCTTTTATCACTCGAAGTCTTATTTGGGGATTTTTATATAAATTGCGTATCTCTTTTCAATTATATGGATATAAAAATCTTTTATTAAAAATCTTATAGCTATACTGTTTTTCTTTTGTATGTTTGTCTTCTCTGCTGGTGCAAAAGCTAAACAATGGACTCATAAACAGGGAAAAGAATAGAGGCTTATTTGTTGTTCAAAATGTCCGGCACGAGCATGCTTACTCTGTGGTACCTACAGCTGTTGCAACATGAGCAACTTGTTTACAAATAATTATATTCTTATAGATTTGGAAGAAGTTACCGCTCAAAATCAGGAATCCAGTTCTAATGATCAGGAAAACTACATAAATACAACATATGATGGTTAAGACCAATTTTACAGTCTGCTTGTCGTAATTATATTTGAATATTTAGTAAGTGTTCGAATGCGATACCTACCAAATGTGTACGCAACTTATCCGCAACATAAAAACTTTTATTACATATTTTACATTTCTAGTTTTTTTCCTTCGTAAGCTTATTTTGATGCCGTTTTAAGCTCGACTTGGAGCTAAATTTTGAGTTGCAATGCTCGCATTGAAAACAGCGTTGACCTGAGTGAGAGTTCAAATGATAATTTAAATTCGATAGATATAAATAGGTTTTATTACAAATTTTACATCGGTACTGTTTTTTTTTGTATGTTTATTACGGTGAACATCTAAACTACTTTTTCTCTTGAAAAATACATTGCAAATCTCACATTGAAAAGGCCGTTTGTCTGAATGGATAACCAAATGTGTGCTCAATTTTCCCGCATCATAGAAAATTTTATTACAAATGTTACACTTGTACTCTTTTTCTTCCGTATGCTTATTTCGATGAACGTTTAAGTGGCCTTTTGTCTTAAATGTTGAATTGCAATAGTCGCATTGAAATGGCCGTTCGTCTGAGTGAGAGCTCAAATGCTTTTGTATACTGTTTGGATATAAAAACTTTTTATTACAAATTTTACAGCTGTACTGCTTTTCTTTTGTATGTTTGTTTCGGTGAGCATTTAAGTCATTTTTTCTTTTAAAATCCAAATTGCAAAAAGTGCATTTAAAAGGGCGTTTGTCTGAATGAGTTATCAAATGAGAATCTAATTGTCCTTTTGTAGGAAATGTTTGCTCACAAATATTGCACGGGTATTGATTTGCTTCAGTATGAACACTCATATGCTTAGTTAGGTACCATTTTTCCTTAAACTTAAAACCGCAAATAATGCATTGGAAAAGCTCATCTTCTGCATGACACTCATTTAAATGAATACTTAACTTTGAGTTATTTATAAAACTTATCGAGCAAATGTTACAGTGACGTTGATTTATTTCAGCAGCATTCACAGCTTGTTCATATGTAGTTTCACTGCTACTTAGATCACCACTGGCGTCGTCTTCAATTTTTACCAGCCCATAAAAGTCTTCTTCATCAATTGTAATTTCTTCCTTTACTTGCATACAAAAGTCCGGAGTCATATCAATTGAATATCTAAAAAGCAAATTACATAATTAGCGAAAAATATTCTTCAGAAGACTTCAGTCTGAACTTAATAGCACAACCTTAGGTAATCTGTTATTAATTAAGGATCAAACATTTCTTCAGGTTCTAATGTTTCAACATTTACATAATTGAATAATAAAACACCAGCTTATATTTCGCAATAGTTTTATTAATTCAAAACATCGAAAATAATTTTATGTTTATTCCTGAATAAATCACAGACTTTAACTTACCATAGATGTATAATTAAATCAAAAAGGAACCTAATTCAAGTAACTGTAAACGTTATTAAAAATCCTGAAAGAAATTGGAGTTATCTCCAAGTCGCCCTATAAAATCACAATTTTTTCAAAATTATTGAAAATTGAAATTGTTGAAAAATTTTGAAAAATGTTGATTATTTTTGGTAGCTGTAGAAATATAAAATAAAATTGAAAACTCAATACTTACGGGCAATGTGTATTAATATTATTATTAATATAATACTAATTATAACAATTAATAGCAATGCAATTCAATGCTATATGCCATACACTTACCCTGATTGAACGTTTTGTTACCAAAAGGGAATTTACAAGGATACAAGGAACAACAATTTCAATAATTTTTGAAAAATTGCTATTTTATAGGGCCACTTAGAGACAGCTTCATTTTTTTTCAGAATTTTTAATAGCGTTTATTTAACAGCTGCCACTTCAAATTTAGAGAGAATAAAAACACTCCTGAGTTAGTCGCTTCTTAAAGCGGGCTCCGATTTAGCCGGTTATACAAAGAAGGTATCCTAGTTATGATATCCTATTTAGCCAACTTCACAAATTCATGATATTCTATTTCGCAGCTAAGCATAAAGGAAATATCGAATTATGCTTACGAAGTACATAATGTTTTTTAGTTTCACAGATAGCATGTAAACTCATCAGCATTAATTCAGTAAATATTCACACAAGCCTGTAATAACGAACAGTTGTATCTTGAAGCTGAAATCCATGTCAATTGAAATAAAAATTGTTTTAAAAACTCCCTTTCCAAGGAAGTGATTTTAACTTCCTTTCATTCCTGAAAGAACACAGATATTTGGAATTGCGTTACGCAACCTATTCATATCCGGCAAACTAACAAAATAAGGAAGCTGAGATGAGCTGCGTGGAAATCGACATACTAGATGATTTAAGCGAAGTAAGACAGTAAGATGAAAACAGAAAACAAAGGAAGAGTACATTTATTATTCAGTAAGAACCAATCCGAACATCAATATGGATCATCAAAACACGTTAATAAAATAAATAAATTTTTGTTGATAGAAAGTTTGCAGTCTGTTTGTGGTAATTGAAATTCGATTTTTTTTCGTTCAATTTGTTTCTCCTCTGATTGACTGAACGACATGTTTGGTATTAACATGTTGGTTTAAATAGTATTTCATTTTAAATGTTGTGTTGCAAAAATCGCATTGAAAAGGCCGTTTGTCCAAATGCGTAACCGAATGTCTCCTCAATTTCCCCATAAAATAGAAAATTTTATTACATATCTTACAGTTGTACTCTTTTTCTTTCGTATGCTTGTTTCGATGAGTGTTTAAGTTCTCCTTTGTTTTAAATGTTGATTTGCCATAGTCGCACTGAAATGGCCGTTGATCTAAGTGACAACTCATATGATTCTGTATACTGTTTGAATATAAAAACTTTTTATTACAAATGTTACAGCTGTACTGTTTTCCTTTTGTATGTTTATTTAGGTGAACATTTAAATTAGATTTTCTTTTGAAATCCGATTTGTAAATTTTACATTTAAAAGGGCGTTTATCTGAGTGAGTTGACAAACGAGAATTTAATAGAGATTTTATAGCAAATGTTTTGTCACAAATATTGCACGTGTACTGTTTATTTTTAGTGTGTCTTTGCGTATACTTTAAACCGCAAATATTGCACTGGAAAAGTTCATCTTCTGCATGACACTCATTTAAATTAATATTTAGTGTATATACTTTCCTGACTGTGTTTCAATTCCAAATCAAATATATTCCTGGGTTTCAGTAATTTATTGTTATTTATTGTCTCTATTTATTAATCAAAATACATTTCGCTGCATTTTTCCACCATCATCAGTTTTTCTAAAATAACAGATAGTTAAAAAACATTTTCATTAATTTAAAAAACAACCACAGTTCGTCAACAGCCTCATCATATCACATATTAAAATACATCACAATTGCAATCTTTAAAACATTCTAAAATTAATTAGGCCTAACAGGTGATTAGTCAGGACAATCAAATTTGGGAAGAGACTAGAATTCTTCGTTCAGATACTTAATTATTTTTACTTACATGTGTAGCGTTGTTTCTGCTTTAAGCCTTGGCATGCATTTGGAGTATTAATTTTGTCCATTATCGGACAACAAACGAATAAAATACTGTTTATATTGATTTCTTTTACTTTCAGCTATTTTCTTTTTCTTTGCATTCTGAGGATATTATTTTTGGTTTGCAAAATTCTTCAATATACCGGGTGTTAGTTAATATTTTATGTTTATTTCATTTAATTAATGTATGATATATTGAGCTAAGATTGTCGGTATCCGATCTGAAATTCATAAATTTGGCATTCATAATGTCGTTTGTATCAATGCGTTAAGAACTGTCTATATAAGATTCTGAATTAAGGAAGATTTAAATTTATTTAAATTTCATGTAAAAATTATTTGCTACAAACCTTTCATCTGTACTGTTTTTCCTTCGTATGTGAATTTGACTTTAACTGTTGTTTTTGGTGGTATTTTGTACAGCAAAACTCGCACTCATAAGAGCGTTGGCCCAAATGAGTCTGGAAATGAGTGTGAAAATTTGAAGAATATAGAAATATTTTTATTCCAAATCTTGCACTCTTACTGCCCTCCTAGGCCCTTATGCCTATTTTGGTTGAGCTTTAATACGAGATTTGTTTAAAATTTTGAGTGGCAACTATCGCATTGAAAGGGACGGATATCTGAATGAGTCTTCATACAGGGTGATTCAACATTGGCGTCATTCGTTTTAAGGGTATATAGGGGCCCACTTAGAGAGTACGAGAAAAATATTGAAATAGTTTTTTTCGAAAATTTCAAGAAGAAATTAACAGTGGAAAATCGAATTTCAACTTTGTTATTAAGCATTATTTTGAAAAGGTCCCACGTTTGATTGGGAGCCTATTGGAATACTTAAGCATTCGAAAAGGTAAATTACGATCTTTTGGTGAAATTACGAAATTTTTCTTTATGGTGGAATTTTTTTGGAAAGGATCAAGGAAGAGCCATAACGGACAATTCTGAGCGCTATGGATGCATGTAAACCGATTATTATTTTTCCAATTTTCGACCACTTCCAAACTTCTTCCAGATCATAAAGCACAAAAATAGGGAGTTTTTCTGGATTTTTAAGTGGCCTCTGGCTAATTAAGTGGATGCTGCAAAGTGAACTCGTCCGAGTTTCCGTAATGCTTTCTTCGCTTGACCTTTTTATGGCAAATGTAACATTAAAACGGTAGTTGGTTTGAATATGGTGTCAAATTTGCAGACAAATTTATGCAATTAAAGTATATATTTTCTCAAATTTCTTACTTGTACTCTTTTTCTGTATGCGCTTTCAGATGGATTCTGAAGTTTTCCTTTCTTTCTCCAGATGTTGTTTTAATGTTGCTGGTTCCGAACATTTGCATTGCAAATTTTATGGGTGTCTGCTTGACCAGCAGAGGAGACAGGCATTTTTTATTAAGAAAAGTTAGATCAGATGGTCGTTTTGAGCCAAAGAATGTCGTAGAACTCGTTTGATCGTGTTTACGGGCCACACTGTATAATAATTAACTACAACTATACAAGGAGAACTACATTTTATAGATCTAACACTGTGCATAAAGTTACATTCTAAACAGGTTGATAAATAACTAGGTAATTAAGTAAAACGGCGCATAACTTACAAGTCTGTGATACACAAAACTGCTACAAAACTAAATGTGAAATTCCATTACTTATTAGTTGGGCGAATTTAAACATCCTCTGTACAATGCACAGCACGACAGTGTTTTCGTAATTTATCTTTCAGTTTGAATGTTTTACTACAAATATTGCATTCAAAGGGTCGTTCGTCTGAGTGTGTGACCAAATGCGCTGGCAAGCTTTTCGAATTAAAGAAAGTTTTACTACATACATTACATTTATACTCCTTTTCCTTGGTGTGTAAATTTAGATGTGTTTTTAAACTACCTTTTGTTTTGAACTTTGAATTGCAAAATTCGCATTCAAACCGACGTTCTTCTGAATGCGTTTCCAAATGCTGTTTTAGCGTTGGTGGTGAGAAGAAGATCTTACTGCAAATATTACAACTGTATTGTTTTTCTTTCGTATGCCTATTTCGGTGAGTGTTTAAGTTACACTTTCTTCTGAATACTAGATGGCAAATGTCACATTCAAAATCGCCATTTCCCGAGTGCATTTTCAAATGTTGATTTAAACTTTGTGGATAAACAAATATTTTATTACAAATCTTACAGCAGTATTCTTTTTCCTTTGTATGCGTATTTCGGTGAACATTTAACGTAACTTTTCGTTTAAATGATAAATCGCAAATATCACATTGAAAACTGCGACTGCCTGAATGTGCTTTCAAATGTTCATTTAAATTTGAATTGAATAGAAATGTTTTTTTACAAATCATACACTGGTATTTTTTTTCAGTCGAATGGGCCTTTAGATGCTGTCTTAGACAACCTTTCCTTTTGAATGTCAAATTGCACATTTCACATGAATGCGGGCGATTTTCCGAGTGTATTTTCAAATGGTCATGTAAGTTTGAATAAAACAAAAATGCCCTATTGCAGTATTTACAGTTGTACTGCTTTTCTTTCGTATGCTTGTTTCGATGGATTTTTAATCTGTCCATTCGCTTGAATTTTAGACCACAAAAATCGCATTGAAAAGGACGATCTTCTGAATGCGTAGTCAAATGACTGTTCAAGTTCGATTTACTTAAAAATGATTTCGAACAAATGCCACAGTTATGCTTCTTGGTTTTAAGGGCCTTTGACTCTTGCATCAGTATATGTTGATTGCTTCCGGAACGTGTTTCCTCTTTAACCATTTCTGACCAGTTCTGTTCTTCGATTTTAATTTCTTCCCTTACTTCATGCGATGATTCTACTTTTACGCTGATCAAAGCTCTGAAAATAACAGTACATAAGCAGCTGAAAATGTGACACATTACGGTTCATTTACATACATTTACATATATGTTATATGGCCAAATAATTATTTAGGCATATCACGTAAGAAATTTCGTGGTTTTATTTTCAATAAAGAATTTAAAACATGACAACAAAGACGACGTTCTAAATATATAAGAAGTGCAGTGGATAATTTTCTTGCACTTTTATACATAGACAAAATCTTAATCTTAACATAAATATAACCTTCAAGTGGCGGTTTTGGTTCGTTCTATTTGAGGGACATTCACTAGGGAAAAAAGGTCTTAAAAACTCCATTTGATTTGATCTTTAATATTGATAAAGGAAACCGTCGTGTAAACCGCCAACAGTAAAACAAATCTCTCAAATAATGTTCTCAATCTTTCTACTTTCTTTTTAATTGCAAATTATTTTTAGTCTGTTATAATTTCAGAGTTCACTTTAGACCGGCTTGGTGTCATATTTTGATTTAGAAGTCACATAAAGACATTCCAATCTTCACTCGTTTTAGAGACTTTCTGTTATCAAACCAATTGGAATTTAAAAATATCACCGTCCTTTCTGCTTCATATCCTTTTCATTTGTATGCAAATTACAAGATTTATTAAGAAACGAAGAAGCACATTTTCATATTTAAACATATTAATACATTAATAACGAATAAAAATATTAAATTTACTTATTGCGTTCAGTTGACTAAAAAATTAATCAACTCAAAAACTCAAAGAATTTTCCAATTTTAAAATTGCTATATACAATCCACTGGAATGAGTACTTAACTGAAAACGATTTTGGAAAGCTCTGTTAATATAAATAGTTAATTAAACTCAGACTTTTTGTATGTGTCTGCTTTGATGGAGTGCTAAACGACTTGAATATTTGAACGTTAAATGACAAATATCACATTGAAAAGTTTGTTCTGTAGAATGAGTTTTTAAATGAATTTTTAGATTATTTGGAAACAAGAACGTTTTTTGACACACCTGACATACATACTGTTTTTCCTTTGTGTGCTTGTTGCGATGCAGATTTAGGTGTGCCTTCCGTTTGAATTTTAATCCGCAAAAATCGCATTGAAAAGGTCGCTGATCAGAATGAGTTTTCAAATGATGAACTAAGTTGCTCGAACATGAAAAGGATTTTTGGCAAATCGAACAATTGAATTGTTTTTCTTTGGTATGCCTGTTTCTATGAACATTCAAGCTGACTTTTCGCTTGAATTTTACATGGCAGGTATCGCATTCAAACGGCCGTTCATCAGTATGACTTATTAAATGCGACTTTAAAAGCCATAAAGAGCGAAAAGTTTTACGACAAACCTTACAGGAATAATGTTTTATGTTGGTTCGTTTCTTCGGACCAATGTGAGTATTTAGTTCACTGCTTTTTTTGGGTTGGCAAGAGCGATTTGAGTGGTTGCTCAAATGCGCATTTAATTTTCGTTTGCTTGCAAATGCTTCTAGACAAATGCCACACTTTAGCTGCATAGGCTTAGATTGTTTACGATTTACCAGTCCAGGCTGGTCATATTCGTCCATTACAATTTCTTCGTTTCTTTCCTCTTTAATGCTCTGGTTATATATACTTCGAAGGTCTATTAGATCTGTTGTTTCTGTTTGATGTGCAAACTCTGATACGTCGTGTTCCTCGATCGTAATTTCTTCCGCTTTAAGGCTTTCCTCCTGAAGGTAAAACTCTGCTTTAATCACTGACCAGCATCTGAAAACAAATCCAATTAGCCGAAATATGTTTTAATCCCAACTTAATTTCAAGCGAAAATAGCGCAAAGTCGCATTGAATGACGCAATGATTCGCCTTAAGGATTGGAGGAGGAGCATTCATAAAAGTCGATTTGTTTGGAGCAACATTGATCTCTATCGGAAGTGAATTGGTGTTTTAACGAGAAAAATAATTTCTACTTTTGCAAAAAGCAATACTACAGAAGAACGTTTAATTTATCAACAATGAAAATTAAATTAAATAGTATCTGATTCAATATAAAAAACCACTGAACGACAATCTTTCGCATCAATCTCTAATAACTAATGACCAAATAATTAGACTTAAACGTTTAATGACAAATATTGCACTTAATCGGCTATTCATCCGAATTAATTTTCAAATGTCTAGTTAAATTGCTTGAGAATGAAAAGCTTTTGCCGCAAATCTTACAATGGTATTGTTTTTCTCTGGTATGTTTGTTTCGCTGAACACAATGTTGTTTGCGTTTGAATGCACTTTCAAGTGAGCAGTTAAATTATAACAATATGAGAAAGTTTTATTGCAAATTTCACAGGTGTACTGATTATCATTCATATGACCTCGACTGTGACGTATCAAATCATATTTTCTTCTAAATTTCGATTTTAAAATATCGCATTGGAAAGGACGTGAATCCTTATGAATTTTCAAATAGTCATTTAGATTCTGCGAAAATAAAAAAGTTTTATCGCAAATCTCACAGGAAAGTAGTTTTTCCTTTGAATACTTCTATCGATGGATGTTTAGAAGTCAGTTCGAGTGAACTTGAAATTGTAAATTTCTCATTCCAATGAGAAGTTTTCAGCATGCGCAGCCAAGTGATTATTTAAACTTGGTCTAGTTGGAAATGTTTAAGAGCAAAATTTACAGCTGTAATAGTTGTCTTGTGCAGAAAACACTGTTTTTGATGGGTATTCGTATGGGAAAATTCATTTGAATGCGGTTCTATTTAAACATCCTCATCGAAATCGTCTTCAATTTCCATTTATGTCAGTTTTTGATCTGAACTATTAAAAAAAATATATATATTATATTTATCTCAAATCGATATACATAAACTGTTATGGGATTTCCTGACTTGAGAAACGATATTCATTCAAAGACAAAAAAAAAATCTATCAGACTATGAAGGCTTTTACGGCCGGCCAAATCACATTTAGAAATGTTTTCCGGGCTTTGAAGCCGTGCTTCATGGGAATTTCTATAATGTTGAGATATATTTTTAAATTTTGTCGCAGACGACTTTAATGAACTACCTGGCGTTTTAAGGTGTTTAGTGGTTTTGATTCGGAAAATTGCTCACTTCCGATCGTCAATTAGTAGATATTTCTGCAAGAAAATCTTATTTTCGTTCTATTCAAAACGCAAAAAGTTCAGTGGTTTTGGGGCAAATTTTTCCAACCGATAAAGTGGTGGAACGAATTGTGGACATACTTAGAGGATAAAAAGATGCCTATAGATGAATGTATTATGTTTTAAGATAAAGGATCCAGAATCAGCATGGACGTATCGTAACTTCCAAGTTCTTCTGGATGGAATTAACGTGTTTTTGAAATGAAATTTGAAACTAAAAAAAAATTAGTTTCTAAATTTATTATTAAAGTGAATTACAATTTTTGAGTTTGAAATGGGCCTCAGCCCCTCTTTGGAATCGCTACTGTTGTCAAGTATACAATACTACATATCATACATTGTACCGTCCAACTGAATTCCCGATGAAACTGCTAATTTCGTTCACATTTTCAATAGCAAACATTCTAATGAGTAATTAAATGGTCGCGCAATTCTTCACGAAGTGGAAATGTTTCTTTACAGGTTTTACAGTAATAGTGTTCTCCCTTCATATGTGTATTTACATGCCTCTTTAGGGTACCATTTCGACTGAATTTTGAGCTGCAAATTTCACATTCGTAACGGCGCTCCTCTGAATGACAGTACAAATGTTCGCGTAAATCTTCAGGATTTAAGAAGGTTTTCCTACATGTTTTACAGTAATAGTTATCTGCCTTTGTATGGACAGTCAAATGCCTCTTTAGATTATTTCTGCGCCTAAATTTTGAACCGCAAATTTCACATTCAAAAGTGCCGTTTTCGGAATGAATCAGCAAATGGCCACCGTCTGAATGCACTTGCAGATGCTCGCGTAAATTACTCAAACTTGGAAAGAGTTTTCCACACTTTTCACATTCATACTTTACTTCTTTCGTATGTGTTTTTATGTGCTGTTTTAGATGACTATTAAGTTTGAACTTTGAACCGCAAATGGTACAGTCATAAGGGCGATCGTCCGAATGAAACAGCCGATGCTGACGTAAATTATCCAAATGGAAAAATGTTTTGTTACAAAGCTGGCACATTAATTGTTTTGCTTTTGAATGCTTATTTAGATGGGCCTTTAGTTTGTGTTTATGCTTGTAAGTTACACCGCAGGTATGACACTCAAACGGACGATCGTCAGAATGAGACTTCAAATGAGATGTTAAATGGAATGAAAATGAAAATGTTTTATTACAAATTCGACAGCAGTAAAGCTTTTCTTTAGCATGCGTGTTTTGGTGTTTTTGTAGACGCTCAATTTGGGAAAATTTTAATTTGCAAACTTCACATTCAAATGCAAACGCTTCAGAATGTGTACCCAAATGCTTATTTAGACTTGGCACAGAGGGAAATGTTTTGAAACAAATTTCACACTTATAGGGTTCCTCTTGTATTCCTCCGGGTTGGCTGCTTTTGAAATTTCGGCCGGACTCGAAAGTTTCATCACTCAGTTCCTTCTCAGATTTTACTTTCTGAATCAAATCTTCTTCCTCAATATCGATTTCTTCTTTTATTCTATGTTCCACGTTTAAATCACTTTGGGATCTACAAAAAATTAATATCAATACACGCATATATGGAAAATTCTCCAGAATTTCCATTGATATTTATCGACTGAAAATATCTCTTGTGAAAAAGGGACTTTCTCAGTTGATAACGATTTGGCTTGTTGATTCTTTATTTACTATTAACGCTTAAAATTTTAACCGCATTGTAACTAAATATATTTAAAAGTATTTGAAGCAATCAAAATATTTCTATTTCTACAGGTCATAAATACTTTACACTTTTCCTTGCAAATCCTGCATGCGCAACACAGTAAAAATGCGAATATTTTCATATTACTTTACCATTTCGATAAAGGATGCTAAAATACAACAGCAGAACAGTGCGTTTGGATGTTTTTATTCAGTTTCCACAATTAATTATTATATGAATAATAAATAACAATTAATAATAATAGTTTTATTACAGAATTAAATCAAATTCGAGATTCATTTGACATGTTGGTCTTAAATACGAGGGTTGAAAATTAATTTTGGATTAAATAGTTTTGAAGTGGTTTGCGCGGTGGAAGGCAAATTACCAGCCTATAATTTCTTCAGGCGACAAAATTGATACCAGGAATTGTCAGGTGAGTTACATATTTATGATTAATTGTTAAGTAAAAATAAAAATTTTAAAATATCAAGGTACAGAAGAAAACATGCAGTGTGTTTACTTAAGCTTGCACCATATGAGAAACTTTTTATTATTAATTTTGACGAAAAACGTTTTACGTTTGCGGCCCAGTGTATTTCAGTTAAACTTTCTTTCTGCTGAGCTAATTGGCTAATTTTGATATAAATTATAGCACAAAAACATATTTTCCCATATTGTTAGTTTATCAAGTGGTGACATATTGGAGTTATCTAAATTATATGAACATATGTACTATTGTTCGATTCTATGCCTTTTTTGATGGCATTTCAAATGCCGCTTTTGTTTAAATTGCAAATCGCAAGTTTCACATTTGAACGGTCGCTCGTCTGAGTGACTACGCAAGTGAGCCAGTAAGTTACATGAATATAAGAAACTCTTGTCGCATAACTTGCAGTCGTATTGCTTATCCCTGGTATGCTTATTGCGATGTACATTTAAGTCGTATTTCCTTTTAAACTTGCATTTGCAAATATCGCATGAAAAAGAGCGCTCGATAAAGCTTCCATTCATTTCCCTCGTATGCTTATTTCGATGAATATTTAATTGCTGTTTGCGTTTATACTTTAAATTGCAAAATTCGCATTCAAAAGGACGTTCATCTGAGTGAGAGATCAAATGCGACTTTAAATTTCCAACACGTTTAAACCATTTGCTGCATATATTGCACGAATAGTTGTTTGCTATTGGATACACATTTTGGAAGTCGTTTAATGTTTTCATATGGAATGTTTCATCATCACTTGGGTTCTCTTCTAATTTAAGTAGTTCAGTCAGGTCGCTATCATCGATTGTAACTTCTTGCTTTACTTTGTCGGGTGTTTCATAAATATGATTAACTTGAGTGCTAAAAAGGAAATTATTGAGTCTCTTGGTAGCAAAACCATCAGAACTTTTTATTTGCTGGATATAATTCCTTTTTTCTTTTTTTTCTTAATAAAACTTATGTCAGATCTTCTTCCTTTCAGCCAAATAAGGTCTCAGTGCCCTTATTTTACTGTATAGCAATAGTCTTCTACTAATTCGCATTCTTATGTCAATTTTGATAGTTCGGTAAATGCCTTTTATGCTTAAAGTATAAACTACACAGATTACATTGAAAAGGGCGTTTGTCTGAGTGCTCATATCAGAAAATAAACCAGCTAAATACAAAACAATCTTATGCCAAATTTTTTTCACATATATATTCTTTAGTTAGTATAATTATTTTAATACAGAACAAGTAAATACGAAATTATTCGCAACGCAAATATGTTGTTAGCTTATATGTATTCTATCCCAGTTGTGGGAGCCAAAGCTCGCCTTAATGGACGCTTTGTAGCTGTCTTGAAAATATCCGACACAAATCTGCCAATTCGTCCGCCGTCGTGCTTAGAATACTTCAAATTTTGTTTGTAAAACGTTATGTAAAATCTTATTTGTACGTGTAAAATTAATGAAAAAAAAGGCATAACGTCTACAAAAGGAACACCAATAAACTAGGGTTGCCCACTTGCAATCGGCAGGCTAATCGAACCATGCTAAAGGAATTAGGAGTTTGCAATTAAAACGTTAGGTTCCACTTTTCGTACACTCGTATAGCTGGAGGACTCAATGTAATTTACATGGTTTTTATCTATATATATATAATTCTCGTGTCACAGTTTTAGTTACCATACTCCTCCGAAACGG